GGGGGGGGTGGGGCGGGCGACTTCACAACGCATGGCGCTACACCCACGAAAGATGTGTGACCCTCAGAGCCTCTTTTGGGACTTCTTACTGTTGCAATTTTTTTGGACAAGATGCCACAGTAAGAGTCCTTAATCTGAGGTGGGGGGGTTTCCTTTCAGAGAGTGCCAAGCGGGTTTCTGGCCAACAGCCTTGCTCCAGCTTTTGTTTTGCGAGAGCGATCCTTAGCTTGTCTAATAATGAGTAACCCATGAGCAGGCAGGTGCTTTCAGCAAGACTGAAACATTCACATATTTTTAACTATTTGATAGGAACAGTGGCTTGTAGCAGCAGTAAAAGAGGAAAAAAATAATCCTGTGATCTGGTTGAAGTCAGTTGTGGGGAGGATGCATAACAGCCCCTGAAGGTTGCACCACCAGCCCCTGGCTTCATCCCTGCCAAGACCAGGGATGTCCCAATATGGGCAGCAGAGGTGGGGGCTGTGAGCAGCAGCCCTGGCCCCGGGACCCTCTGGCGAGTGTGGCAGCAGCGAGGGGTGCCCCTGCTCCCCTGGGGCGCTGCCTGGGTGGGCATCAGACTGCTGATACTGCATGGCCACGGCCCGGGCCTTACCCACCAGGGCTTGGTGGGTGACCTGAGCCCACCCAGCAGCCAGGCTGGTGTGGGGCCACTGCTGATGGTGTGGCCACGCCTCGCTCCCTAGTCCTGGGCCACCATAGACACGTCTTATCAGACACATGCTGCCATCTATCCTGGGTATTGTGGCCTAAACACAGCTTGGCTTTGATATGCTCGGGGATGTAAGAGTTGCACCGACAGGCAGAGACAGCCGCTGATGTGCTGGCTGAGCAGGTGTGGGCAGAGGGAGGAGGGCTGGTCTTTGCTGCTCCCACAAATGCATCCTCAGTGTTGATGCGCTGCAGTTTTCTCCTGCTTCCCTATTTTCTTCCTTTAGGATCTCACAGATTTCCGAGCTGCTGTTGATTATCCTCTGTCCTTGAGCTATTGATGATCATATTCCTATAATCCTGTCTCTGTCTGCATTTGTACCTTTTCTTATCAGGCGTGGTGCTGCATTCTGACTTTTCCATAGCTAGAATTTTTCTTGAGAGCTTGGGATGAGGTTTTGCAGCTGGGGCATGTTACAGCCAGGGCTTTTATTGGGGGCAAGGCTACCAAGGGTCACAGCTAACATGTGCTTTCCCACCAGCTGGCACAGATGGGTCCAGCCGTCAGCTCAGCCTGCAAGCAACCCATATCCAAAACCATGAAGACACACAGAAAAGGAGATCCCAAAGAAAAAATTTGTTTGCATAGGTACAAAATGTTCCCTCTCTGTGGTCACCACCCTGAATTCCTCCCAAATGTACCCAGTGTTTACCCAGTGTTCTCCCAGCCTGGCCCTTCCTGGCCCTCCTCTGAGTTACAGCGATGCACACTGAAGAGCAAAATGCTCGTTTGCCCTGGATGACCTAATGAGCCGCCCTAGCTGCAGGTCACCTACTGTCTAGCCTGGTCTGTGGCATAGGACCTCAACTTGTGAGAGTCCAAATTTCTTTCTCATTTTTATATACTACCCCATCTCACCTTGCAAGGTATGGAAAGCTTGGGTGCCAGTCTTGTGAGTTTGGGCATTATTTTCAAGGTCTTTAAGTCGTTCATGTCCTTGTGAGAGGAGCCACAGACAAGAACGCAACCCATGAAATGGGATGTTGCGCCATGGGATGTGTACATGTTTTCTGAAAGGAAGAGTCAGTTTCTCTTTAGGAAAAAACTTCTACTGACCTGCAAACTGCACTGCAATACATCACACAAATGCACTTATTTCCTATTATAAAGCAAAATGACAGAGTCCTTCCCTTGGGCTTTTGTTAGCTGTCTTTTACAACCTTCTGCACCCTGCAAGGGAGTTGGAACTTTAATCAGTGGCCATTTCAGTAGCTTAAGACGGAGGTTGTGACAGTGATCACACCCAACCTTGGAGCTGGGAGGAAGCGAACCATGAAAGTGAGGGGGGAGAGGTAACATTGGATTCTCTGAGCTTCATTAAACAGACTCTTGACTGAGGTCACGTTAATCCTCCTCTCTTATGTTCGGCGAGGACAGCTGCGTTACAGCCCTGCGGACTAGCATTTCACCCACTCGGCCGCTGCCATTTCTACACTCCCCTGGACACACTGCTTTTACACCCTGGGAAATCAGCAGGCCGATTGAAAATGTTGCAGCCTTTTTTTTTTTTTGTTCCTTTCTTTTTTGTGCAGCTCGTTTCTGCTCAGGATGGCGGGGGG